TCTCCAAACATATCATCATTCACACAGGTAAGATGCAACATTTTGAGCTTTTTCTTATGTATTTTTCTCTTGTGTGCTTCTAATCACTTCCTGTTTACAGGGGAGAAACCTTTTCTGTGTGACAAGTGTGGCCGAGGATTCAACCGTGTGGACAATCTGCGTTCCCATGTGAAGACAGTGCACCAGGGGAAGGCGGGCATGAAGAGACTGGTGGTGGCTGAGGAGGACGAGGAAGAGGAAGAGGAAGAGGAGAAGCTGCTGCCTGACTCCACACCAGACTCAGAGCTTAATAATGAGGTCAACATCGTCACGGTCACTACAGATGACATCGTGACTTTAGCCACTGAGGCTCTAGCTGCCAGTGCTGTAGCACAGCTCACAGGTGAGAGAATATGTAGAAAGGTTGTTCCTCAATACCAAGGGAATATGCTGAATCTAAAAGTGACCATAATGGCGGTTGGATGGTCTCCTGATATTATTTGTTGTCTTTGACCCCTGTAGTGGTACCAGTGGCAACCTCTGTATCTGCAGAGGAAACAGAGGCACTTAAAGCAGAGATCACCAAAGCAGTGGAGAAAGTACAAGAAGCAGGTGAGTAATATATAGTTTATATACTATATTATAATTTATTGATTTATTTGTATTGTAAGTTATGATAATATAATAATGCAAAATAATTATTTAATATTATTATAGATGATAATAATAATAATATAAATGATAATTTATGTTGCTTTATATATGTTGCTTTATTAACAAGTTATATGTAATACTACTAAATTTAATTATGTGTGTACCAATCAAAGGTTTGAAAGACGTCTCTTATGCTCACCAAGGCTGCATTTATTGGATTAAACGTACAGTAAAATTCTTGTGAAATGTAGTGCAATTCTTTAAAAATATATTATTACAAAATATTGAATTTTAAAATGTAATTGATTCCTGTGTGCCATTACTCCAGTCTTCAGTGTCACATGATCCCTCAGAAATCATTCTAATATGTGACCCTGGACCACAAAACCAGTCTTAAGTCGCTGGGGTATATTTGTAGCAATAGCCAAACATTTGACACATTGTATGTGTCAAAATTATAGATTTTTCTTTTATGCCAAAAATCATTAGTATATTAAGTAAAGATCATGTTCCATGAAGATATTTTGTAAATTTCCTACTGTAAATTTTTTATTAGTAATATGCATTGCTAAGAACTTCATTTGAACAACTTTAAAGGCGATTTTCTCAATATTTAGATTTTTTGCACCCTCAGATTCCAGATTTTCAAATAGTTGTATCTCGGCCAAATATTGCCCTATCCTAACAAACCATACATCAATGGAAAGCTTATTTATTCAGCTTTCAGATAATGTATAAATCTCAATTTCGAAAAATTGACCCTTATGACTGGTTTTGTGGTCCAGGGTCACATATGCTGATCTGGTGCTCAAGAAACATTTCTTATTATGATCATTGTTGAAAACCATAATGCTGCCTATTGTTTTTGTGTAAAACATTTTTTTTCAGGATTTTTTGATGAATAGAAATATAATGAAATCTTTGATGAATATAAATGTTACAAATTTTTTCAAATAAATGCTGTTCTTTTGAAATATTTTGTAGCATTATAAGTGACTTTATTGTCGTTTTTGATCCATTTAAAGCATCTTTGCTGAATAAGAGTATTAATAAAAAAAATCATCTGACCAGTAGTGTATATAAATTAATTATATAAATAAAAGCTGTTCTTTTGAAATGTTTTGTAGCATTATAAGTGACTTCACTGTCACGTTTGATCAATTTAATGCATCCTTGCTGAATAAAAGTATTAATTTCTTTCTTTCCCAAAAAAACTACTCCATCTGACCAAGTGTATATATAAATTAATTATATAAATTATACTAAATATAAGCAAGATTTTTATTTAATATATTATACCCCTTAAAGCTGAATCTGATTTTTGTTACGCATTAATTAAATTCTAATAATTTAATAAAAATAAATTTTACAACAATTAAAAAAAAAAAATCATACTGTATCATATTTAAAATGAAACATGCTGCTCTATTCCTTCAGATCCCAACACCCAGATCTTGTATGCATGTGACTCATGCGGTGAGAAGTTCCTGGACGCCAGCTCCCTCGCCCAGCATGTGCGCATTCACACTGCCCAGGCCCTGGTCATGTTTCAGGCAGACTCTGACTTTTACCAGCAGTACGCAGGAGATGGCACATGGCAAACCACCGAACAGGTCATCCAGGGAGGCGAGCTCTTGTTCCGGACACGGGAGGAGGACGGTGAGGAAGGAGAAGGAGCTCTAGCCCAGCCAGAATCTCAAACTGAGGGGGCAGAGGAGGAGACCAGTACACAGGCAGAGACTGAGGAAGGGTCTGGAAAAGTCGAGCCTGAAAGCCAAGGACAGTGAAGCCTTTCTGACCTGAATCGGTCCAAAGGATGGAGAGATCCACATGGAGTTTAGACTGTCACAAAGTGTAATATTTCTCACCAGAGTGATGGTTATTACTAATTAATATTCTATAATAAAACACACTCGTATTTTGAAAATACTAGATAGATGTCTTATCTCAAACCACAGCACAATGTGTGTACAGCATATTAAAACTACATTGTATAGAGTTAAATTTAGATAAAAAGATGACGAAAACATTTTAATTAAATATGAACAAAACAAACCTAATTTGTATGCGGTTTGTCAGATCTTTTAATACTAGTGTCTCCCTGTATATGCTGTGCTAGATCATGTAATCTCTGTTTACTGAAGCCAATTAAACATATGACTGTCCTACAGGTTTCAGTTTTCAACAAATCAGCTACTGTACCGAACTTTTGTTTACTGATTGATTTAGTGATTCTTTTGTTTGTAGAGTTCAATAATTTTCTATTTGAGCTTAATACTGCTTGACATAAACATAAAAAACATAAAACCGCTGATTTTAACTGTATTCTTATCATTTTCATAACACGCAGAAGCTGAAGAAACTCACAATAAATGCTGCTTTTAATTTTCCATAAATGTTGCAAGTGGCTCATGTTTAAAATGCACAGTTTCTGATTAGTATTTTAAATGCTCTGTGTTTTAGCAAATGGACTATCAAAACTCATTGCCCCTTTAAATGAGTGATGTGTGTTGCAAGCAAGTTTCTGTTTTTGAATATCACAGCTTTCATTGTCAGATACTCTCATTTAAACTAGCATTGCGAGTGTTCCAGGTCATTTTGGTCCAGTTCTGCTGTAGTTTATATGACATAAGCCATATTCAGTGCTTAATGCTCAAAATCACCTGAAGTTTGCAATTTAATCGTTTGTTAATAAACCACTGTCTTTTGGTTGGTTGATTTTTGAGTTCTTTTTGGTCACTGGAATAAATGTCTGTATATTTGCCAGGAAAGCAAGGCACTGAGACATTGATGACGGCTTTAAAAATCCAATCAGTTTCGAAGCAGCACTGGAAGCAGATAACAAAGCTTTCTGCTGAACACAGTTTGACATGGACAGCAGGTATCAGAGGAATGGGTGCTTTGTAGTTTGAATGTCTTATGTTCAGTAATGGAGTTCCAGTGGAAGTCATTTCACACTGCACTTTCATGTGGTGTTTCAAGTCTCTTGCTAATTTATGGCCAAATATCTGCTTCAAAACAAGTTTCAAATGTTTGTGAATCATCGGAGCTCATGGAGCTTTATAAATAACAACAAAGACAAAAAATTAGGTAAATGAACAGAAAACAGGTATGGATTTTGATAATCATTCATATTTAGCTTCTCATTCTTTTTCATATATCAAATAAAACCCATTTTTAGGAAACAAATATTATGATCAATACAATTATAAGATACAATTATACTTACTATACTTTTACAATTAAGTTTAATAGGTTTCATAACCAACAAATACATAATAAACTTCACATTCAGTTAAAATGTATTGGACTTCATTTATCATACACAGAGGCTTGCGCTCTGAAAAGCACATAGTTGTGTTGCACTGACCCCTGCTGGTCGATAAAAGTTGATAGAGAGATTCGTAAATCCGTCTGTATAGAGTATGGAGGACCAAACCTGCAGAATTTATAAATAGATAAATAAATAAATATATGTAATAAAAAAGGAAATAAATAAAGAAATAAATGACTTGATAAAACAAATATAATTAGTTTGTAATAAAATTTAATCCTGAATTAAATTTTTAAATGACTTTTTTCATCTCATTATAATATTCATGAGTCTATGAGGCAGCACGCAAAAAAAAAGGATATCGAGATTGAAGTCCCATTAAGAAGAGGAGAAATTAAATCAATTATAAAATCAAATATTCAAAAAGAGTGGCAGAAGAAGTGGGACATAGCTGATACAGGAAGGTTTTATTATAAAATTAATTCATCAGTTAAAGAAGTATACAATTTTGGAAGATGTAGGAAAGATGAGGTGATTTTAAATAGATTACCATTTGGGCACACAGGACTAAATGCATGACTATACAAAATAGGTAAACATATTACAGGTAAATGTGCTTTTTGTGGGGTAATAGAAACCGTTGAACATGTAATATTAAAATGTCGGAAATATAATATAGAGAGAATTAAAATGATAAAGAACTTAAATGGTAATAATAAAGAAAAAAAGAAGATAAATTTGATATTAGGAAAAGGATTAAGAGAAGGTAGTAATCAAAGAATAGGAATGGAATATATAGTAGAAACAGGATTAAATAAACGAATTTGATAGTTAAATAAATAAATAAATAAAGCAAAAGAATAGGGGAACACACAAGCTGGGTTTTTTGGCATGGGAGCTGAACACGCAGCAGCCAGAAATACAGCTTGGGTGAGCCCGAAATAAAATTAACAATAAAAAAAATAAAATAAAAAAAAAATGAATAGAGGCGGGACTATCATCCATGTATGATTAGAAACAGTTGGTGGCGGTATGTGCCTGTGGTGCGGAATACGCCAAAAAAAATCCAAAGAAGAAGAAGAGGCAGCACGCGATTGGCTGCTGGCTGGGTCAGAGGTCACGTCCGCGTTAGCGCTGACGTTGTCCAAAGGAGGAAAATGGCGATGGGTTGCTTGTCAATGAGGGACACCGCGACTCCTGCAACATTAACCTGCAAAAGACGGCGTGCTACAATGGTTCCCACGCTGTCTGGCGGATTCAGCAGAAGCGCTCTGCTTGTTTTATCTGTGGCATTAATGTTGCAGGTAGTTTTAGGAGACGGAAAGACTCTCGTTCTGCTGGACAATCCCAACATCAGAGACACTCATTCAATCTTCTTCCGCAGTTTAGCAGGTGAGCGACACCTTATCTGATATTTTCCTATTTAAACCCTTCGAAATATTACATTAGCACCTGAAAATACGTTTAGTATGTTCGCGTAAATGCTATATGAGTAGAAGATGCATTTTGAGTCTATGTGAATCTGGTTGAATAATTGCACCAACATACATGTAACGTTACAGACAATGAAAGGTATTGCACGTTTCTTTTTAAGTATTTAACCCACAACTACATTCTTGTTCTCAGATCGTGGGTTTGACCTTACCTTCAAAACTGCTGATGATCCTGGTCTCTCTTTGATCAAGTACGGCCAGTTCCTCTACGACCATCTCATCATTTTCTCTCCATCGGTGGAAGGTGAGTCCTGTTATAGTGAACCTAGATTTTATGTCATGCTGCCATTTTTATGTTTGAATATCCACGTTTGCATGTTTCCAATGGAACAGATTTTGGGGGCAGCATCAATGTAGAGACCATTACATCCTTCATTGACGGTGGAGGAAATGTTCTTGTTGCTGCCAGCTCTGATATTGGTGAGTGTTGTATTGGTTTTGCATAAGTGCACACGTATTGGTCTGTTGACATCAGTCATTTTTTTAACACTATGCCTTTGACTTTGACAGGTGACCCTCTGAGAGAGCTAGGCAGTGAATGTGGGATTGAATTTGATGAGGAGAAAACTGCTGTCATTGACCACCATAACTATGACGCTTCTGATCCTGGTGAGGTCAGTAATGGATGGAGGAAAAAATACAGCTTAGAGCAATTTTTGATATGAAAGATTAAATATTCAAAGTCACCATGAAATTAAAATTGATCCTGTATTTACTTACTTAATGTTGCAATGTAACGCAAGTATCAACAAATCCTTTTTTTCCAGATTGTTATGTGCAAGAGAAGTAGATTATTGTAAAAGAATGCATATCTGATTGCGAGCTTTTGGTAGATTGTACGAAAGGGGCAGGATTTAAGCGGATGAAATTATTACAGAATTCGACCATCTGTCTGTATTAAAAATCATGAGCTCAAATATACTTTTAAAAATGAAACATTTCCATGAATTAATTGTTTAGAAAGATGTCTTTGAAATCCTGAAATATAATAATTTGCATTCCCTCTAAAACGACTTTCCTTTTTGGCTGTTGTCACCTTGGCTCTTTGGCTTTGTTAACCAATAGTCACTTGTTTAGCCATTGTTTTAGGCTGTTGTTGAAGATCATGCACCCTTTTTAGACTAGATAATGCACTCATTTTTTTTGTCATGATTTACTCACCTTCTTGTTGTTCCAAACCTGTCTTGAGTTTGTTTTTTCTGTCGAACACAAAATATATTTTTAAGAATTTTGGTAACCATTGACTTCCATAGTATAGAAAAAAATATTATTGAATATATAAAAATATTATTTTGTTACCAACATTCTTCAAAATATCTTCATTGTGTTCAACAGAAGAAAGACTCATTTTTAGCTGAACTGTCCCTTTAATGTAAATAAGATTAAAGAAAGAATAGCAAATAACAGTAGATGAACTTGACCTCCTGAATTGCCATTTCATGTGTTTTACATTCTAAAACCTATGTTTTTAAAACATACTGTTTGTTCATCATAATTTCAATTAATCAAATCATTGTTTGAAGCTTGGTCATGCGTTTTTATTTTATTTTTTTTTTTTTACAGCACACCCTGATTGTTGCAGATCCAGAGAATCTTCTTAAAGCCCCAACTATAGTTGGCAAGCCCACTGATAAACCAGTCCTGTTCAAAGGTGTTGGGTAAGTGGTCTTGATACCCTGGTCTATGCTTATTCTGAAAATGTAACTGTTCAAGTTATGAGTTGCCTTTCTTTTTTTCAGCATGGTGGCTGATCCAGATAACTCTCTGGCGCTGGACATTCTGACAGGATCCTCCACCTCTTACTCCTACTTCCCTGATCGCCCCATCACGCAGGTAAATATTTCATAGCTTTCAATGTTCTTTTTTTTGTTAAATTCATTTGCATTCAACTCGATCTCTTTTTTGCTTTCCAGTATCCTCATGCAGTTGGAAAGAACACCCTCCTGATCGCCGGTCTGCAGGCAAGAAACAATGCACGTGTGGTTTTCAGCGGGTCACTGATTTACCGCTGATTACAGAACCGGCTTTCTGACAAGATGCGCGTTAAAATATCGCATGCGATTTATCGTGCAGCCCTAATTCATATTATTATATATTAAAAATACATTTTGGTATTAGGTTGAAATCACGTGTATTCTTTTGTGTTTGATTAACTGTGAAGTTCAGGCCGTTAACAAAACTAACTGCGACATGATGAAAGATATATTCTCTATTTGTTTAGAGGTTGTTTGATGCATGATGTGTATATTCTTAGGTATGAACAGACTGGTAACCAGGAGCTGGCTGAGGCCCTGTCCCGCTGGGTGTTTAAGGAGGCTGGTGTTCTTAGGGTTGGGGCTGTTACCCATCATCCAGTTGGAGAGAGCACTCCCCCTGCTGCCTACACCATCACTGACCTTGTGGTGAGGCATGGCATATATTATTTGTATAGGCATTATAGTTCATTTAACAGTTAACATGTGATTTGTGACCGAGAAGAAGGCAAATTCTGAAGTTTTTTTTGCCATTTAACATTCACTTTCAAAGAAGTGCTCCAAGAAACAAAGCAGTTTGGCTTACTGCTCCTGCTTGGATTGTCCTTACAGGAATACAGCATTGTGATTGAGATGTTGTCTGGTGGAAAGTGGGTGCCTTTTGATGGAGATGACATTCAGCTGGAGTTTGTCAGAATTGATCCATTTGTTAGGACCTACCTCAAGAAAAATGGTATGTTATTATTATAATCAGCATAAGTTCATGCATGCTGATTACTGTTCAAAAGTTTAGGGTCACAGATATTTTTTTTTTTTGAAAGAGATTAATTTAAATTTAATTTAAGGATATTGGGACACTGAAGAGTAATGGCTGCTGAAAACTCAGATTTTGATCACATAATGTTTTATGAATATATTAAAATATAAAAAGTTATTTTAAATTGTAATATTTCACAATGTTACTGTTTTGCTGTATTTTTGATCCTCGATCTCTTTTTTGCTTTCCAGTATCCTCATGCAGTTGGAAAGAACACCCTCCTGATCGCCGGTCTGCAGGCAAGAAACAATGCACGTGTGGTTTTCAGCGGGTCACTGCACTTCTTCAGTGATGCTTTCTTCAACTCCCCTGTGCAGAAGGCCACCCCTGGTTCAACGAGGTCTGTTATTTTACATTACTCAATTTAAGGATATTGGGACACTGAAGAGTAATGGCTGCTGAAAACTCAGATTTTGATCACATAATGTTTTATGAATATATTAAAATATAAAAAGTTATTTTAAATTGTAATATTTCACAATGTTACTGTTTTGCTGTATTTTTGATCAAATAAATGCAGCCTTAGTGAGTTTTTAAAAAGTAAAAAAAAAAAACTTTAGAATGGTAGTGTTTGTTAATGATGTATGACATTAAAAACGTGACTGCTGGTTGTTTAGGTGGAAAATACAGTGTACAGTTCAAGCTTCCAGATGTATATGGAGTTTTTCAGTTCAAAGTTGACTACAACAGACTTGGCTACACGCACCTGTACTCCTCAACCCAGGTGAAATTCAAAATTCATTGTAAAAATTGCTCTTGCTCCAACATTTCCTTGATATTTACTGATTTTTTTGTTATTCCACAGGTTTCTGTCCGCCCCTTGCAGCATACCCAATATGAGCGCTTCATCCCCTCTGCCTTTCCATATTATGCCAGTGCCTTCTCTATGATGGCAGGACTCTTTGTTTTCAGTGTCGTCTTTCTACATATGAGAGAAAAAGAGAAGTCTGATTAAAATGAGAATCAGTGGAGTACAAGAAAATGTAAAAAAAAGCTGATGGGCTTCGGACCTCTGGCAGTCATGATGAATAGAGATCTGAAATTTGTTGGTATGGGCTTGTTTTGGTGAGTTGGAGGGTGTGCCATTACAACTAAAAGCAACACTTGTAAATTTTTTGAAGGGGGGTTGTGTAGTCTAACAAAAGATATGTTTTTGTTTTCTGGTTTACCATTTGTTAATTTAAAGTGATTTGGGGCACACTTCAAGTTTTATTTGTACAAAAGGTAACTTGAATTGGTTTTATGATACAACATGCACTGATGCTTTGGCTCTTGCTATGAAATGTTTGTTTTGAAAATTACCATTTGTAAAAAGAGGAATGGATGCTCACAATGTGGTTAATACACCTGAAGATAGTAAAGTTTTAACATTCCAACACTAAATCTTTTGTCCTCTGTTTTTCAATTGCATCAGATTTCATGATGGGCTTAGCAGTTATGAATATAGTTTATACAGAACCTCATCTCTCAAATGTAAACTGCATGGGCAAGTTTATTATTTTTTTATTTGTGCATTTTCAGTTACTGAATACACGGGATAGAAATCGTATGAATGTGTGACAATAGAGCCAAAACCTTTCAATGTGTGCATATATAACACACACACACAGTAGTGCATTATTATTTTAAACATTACTTTGATATAAACTACAGTTCAAACGTTTTGGGTCAGTAACATGCGTGTGTGTGAAAAATTGACACTTAAGACTGGTTTTGTGTTCCAGGGTCACATATTATATATTTATTTATATATATTTAACTTTTATCTTACTGACCCCAAACTTTTGAACAGAAGTGTACATCATTTGCACCCTTTTTCCTACTGTATACAGTGTAAATTTAGTACCTCAAGTTCACCTTCACGTGTTATTTGCAAGAGCAATTTTCTTCAGTTTTTTATTATCCAAATTATTTTAAAAATCTTTGCATGCTTTATGACAGACAAGGACTGAAATAAAAAAAATCTAGATAATCCTGCCTTGGATAAAGGTCTAGGACAGACAGATTTCTTGGAGGCTAACTGTTAAATGTAGATTTAATTTCAAATAGTAATTTAATCTATATATTTTTATTGTATTTTTTTTTTATTTTTTTTTATCAACGCAATAAGTAACTTTCGTACTTAGACTGATTTTTTTTCGTTCGATTCGTTCAAAACAGACGTGAGAATACGCGCTCGACCAATGACGTAGAATTAAACCGACAACCAGTTGTAGTCCTTACGTAGCGACTTGCTAGCAACTTGTTTTTTTTTTTTTTAAAACAAACAGCTATTTCAAAAATAATGTTTGATGTATGACTGTGTGTAATTTACGTTGTAGAACAAAACTTGAAAGTCTCCTCGAGTAATGTTAACCACAGAGCTTATGGCAGAAACCCGTGGCGGGTTGGCCTACAAATTGACGTCATCACTGAACAGCTCGTGGCCTGTGAACACAAGCGCGAGTCGGGAGCGCGCGTCAGCTGACATCCGCGGAGAGAGCAGCCAGACATGGACCAACTCAAAGTCAAAGACAGGATCCTCGAAAACATCTCTCTCTCCGTCAAGAAGGTAAGAATCCTCTATACATGCAGCGAGGATAAATATAGACCTTCTCTAGTTCATAATTTGAAGGATAGTTTGAGGTTTTCGTGGTTTACGCTATCAAAATAGTTGGGCCCCCCCCCCCCCCTGCTGTGATAGTTTGAGGTTTTCCTGGTTTACGCTATCAAAATAGTTGGGCCTCCCCCCCCCCTGCTGTGTTTTGGTGAAGACAAACGCCTTGACATCTTAAGAAATAACATCCAGTGTTTCCTTATAAGTCAAGATTTAATAAATACCAGGTTAGACAGAGAGCTGTCAGTGCACTATATTGCGTTATTCTAGGCTATATTGTGCACCTATAGCGTAGTTAATACCTGTTATCTGTAAAATAATATAAAAAAGAAAAAGTCATTTTAGGCATGAGTCAAGTAAACAAGTAAACACCGTTTACTGCATCATGGACACGTCAAACAGTGACATGATGCACCCGTAAACAAGTCCTGTTATCAAATGAGATGCTATTAATAGGGCAAACAAAGCTTGCTACTTATTTTATGGGGCCATCCCAGGACATCCTGTCTTTGTATGCTCTTTTTGTTCTGCAGTAACTTACTGAATCTTTGCTGTTTGCAACGTCAGAATGTTTGTTCTTTCTTTGTCTGTCTTTTGCTGCTGTGTTATTCTGAATATTAGCAACTTGCACACACTGTAATCGTTTGACTTAATCATTCAGATTTTAGCCTGTCAGGTGCTTGGCATTAGTACGTTCTCATGGTTTTATGATGGACTTATACACCAAGAAGCTCTGCTTTCATCAGTGAATCACAGAACTGTGAATTCTGAAAATGCATTTCTCATCAGAGGTTGTTCATCTAGAATGAAAAGGATTGCTTGGAATGTCGTGGCTGTGTGCATGTCAGAAATTTACCAGACATTTTTCTTTCACATTCAAGTGATTGTTTTTTTTGAAAAACATTTTTTAACATTTAATCCGCAGTTGCAGAGTTACTTTGCTGCCTGTGAGGATGAGACGCCAGCCATCAGGAATCACGACCGGGTTCTTCAGCGGTTGTGTGAACACCTGGATCATGCTCTGCTTTATGGGTTAGACAAATTGCACCAGAGCCTTTCAAAACCAAAACTCTTTTTAAGTAGACATTTGTAGGCTCACCGAACTTCTCTTTTCTCTACATCTCGAAGGCTGCAGGACATCTCATCAGGTTATTGGGTACTCGTATTACACTTCACACGACGAGAGGCTGTCCAACAGATAGATGAGCTCCAGCACATAGCTACCAATCTTGGCCGAAGTAAGATCAAACCTTTACCACCTATGATGACTTGTTGATGTGCTTTATAATTGTTGAAAAGTACAGAACCATTCAAAAGTTTGGAGATGGTAAGATTTGTAATGTTACAAAAATGTATATTTCAAAAGTGCTGTTCTTTTGAACTTTCCATTTATCAAAGAATCCTGAAAAATTGTTTCACAGTTTCAGCAAAAATATTAAGCAGCACAACTGTTTTCAATATTGATAATAAGAATTGTTTATTGTACAGCAAATCAGCATATTAGAATGATTTCTGAAGGATCACGTGACACTGAAGACTGGAGTAATCATGCTGATGAAAATTCAGCCTTGTCATCACAGGAACAAAATAATAAAATTAAAATAGATTAATGAAATAAAAATCATTTATTTTAAATTGTAATTATTTCACAATGTGACTGTGTTTACTCTGGTCTAAATGGTGACCATAAGAGACTTCTTTCAAAACATTAAAACATCTTACTGACCCCAAACGTTTGAAATGTAAATATGAAGTATTTGCAGATATATTCAGATGTTGAATATTGTGGCACTGTGTGGACATTGTTTCATGTAGTTAACTATGACTGCTATGTTGTTGTTCCACAGGTCGTTCCTGGCTTTACTTGGCACTCAGTGAAAGTTCTTTAGAAAGCTACCTCCGACTTTTTCAAGAGAATCAAGGACTGCTCCAGAAATACTATTACAAGTGGGTGACTTTGAAATAATATTATTGTCCTTCTGTGGTTTCAGACCACAGATGAAAGCTTCCTTTCAGCAGTCATCTGATTTTGTGATGTGTGAACGCTGTTTCCTCCTTTACAGAAATGCACTGGTTTGCAGTCATGACCATCTCACTCTGTTTCTTACACTTGTCTCTGGCCTGGAGTTCATTCGCTTTGACCTCGAATTGGTATGACTCTTCATTGATTTCTCCTGTCTAGAATTAGACAGGCTTTTCCACTGTATGTCCTAGACCTGATGTGTCTCATACAGTTTAGTGCCAAACAACTGACTTCTCTTTACAAACTGTAGAAAGTATATCATTAAGGTGCTCTGACTGGTCAAAAAGTTTTGTTTTAGTCAATCTTGCCTTCAGTAGTTCATTTTAAATAGCCCTGCAATGTGACAAATTAATTAAAACATATTTACAAATAAGTATGAATATTCCATGTTGTCTCTCAATGTAAGGCATTAATTAATAACTATGTTTGTATAATAATTATAAAATAACTAGCAAAACTATTTAAAATAGTTTTAGATGGAGTATTGAATGCCACATACACTTACCAAACATATTTATATCAACTACTCACTTATAATATAAAAATTCTGCTTTTCCATTACTACATTTTGTACTGTTCTATATCTTCCATGACTGAAGATTTCAATATTTCCACTGCCTAGTGCCTAATACTTAATTTTTTAATTGGTGACAGGACGTGCCATATCTGGATGTTGCTCCTTACATGCCAGAATACTACAAACCCCAGAATCTGTTGGATTTTGAGGAGAGGTTGCCAAGCTCTGATAGCCTGTCTCTGCACTCTTTCACATCCCTTACCTCCACTAACCTTGAGTGGGACGACAGTGCTATTGCCCCATCCAGTGAAGGTGAGCTGCTTGGCTTCAATTCACCATTTTTTTTCTCTACCTCTCTCTGTCTGTTACTATTCCAACTTCTGTCTTATTTTCACACTTTTGGATATTATCTTTCACTTTTATTCTTTCTTTTACAAGTTGGCATATTTAAATATAATTGATTATTCTGTACCAAGATGACGGTAATCTTTGTTAAATATTGTTTATCTAAAAGATGAGGGAACTGAGTGTTCAGAAATCTCAGTGACCCTTCATGATCACACATTAATGCTTTCATTTCATTCAGTGACACATTTCACAGCTCATTATGTCCCAGTGTCTCTTTTCGTTCCTCATATGGCAAGTTTCACATTCACTTTATATCTCTTTCAGTTTCTGTTCTTCTTTCATTCACTTCATCATTCTTTCATGCCTATTGATGAATCTTATTTCTCCTTTTTTAGATTATGATTTTGGTGACATCTTCCCTGTGTTGCAGTCATTGCCAAGTGCAGACTGGGAAGGTGGGACATGGTTATTTCCCCCCTCCCCAATCTAACATTCGCTACCCCAACCAATCCATTGGTACAATTTAGCCTACTAACCAGCACTGCATGGTCATTTCACTCTGTGCATGTTTGTTTAATGCACAGAAGCTGTTATAGGCAGTGTGCTTTTGATGATTTCATAGATGGGTTACTGGTGACCATGGCCTGTATTAGACTAAACAGAACCAAACCCTCTGCTAATGCAGGGTTTGCATGGGATGACACTAAAACATACACAGTGCCTGATGCAGCTGGAACTTGCTGTTTGTTGTCAGATTGTGTTTCCTGTCATTGCACCTGTGGCAGTGTGTGGCAGCTGGTTTGCATGTTAGCTGCTTCCAAAGCTTTACATTCTGTGGCAAATATTCTTAAAGGGGTCATATGATGCGATTTAAATTTTTCCTTTTTCTTTGAAGTGTTACAAGCTCTTGGTGCATAAAGAAGATCTGTAAAGTTGCAAAGACTAAAGTCTCAAATCCAAAGAGATATTCTTTATAAAAGTTAAGAGTCAACCACGCCTACCTAAAACGGCTCGTTCTAACACGCCCCCACATATCTACGTCACGATGTGGGAAGATTTGCATAACGCCACCCAAATGTTCACACAAAGAAAGAAGGAGTAACTTTTATTCTCGCTGTAATATTGAAAAGTGAAAAGTGAAAAAGTGAAAAGTGACGTGACATGTGGCCAAGTATGGTGACCCATACTC